CTGATGAAGAAGATGAACCTCTACAACCCAGAGCGCGAAGTTTACAAGATATATACAACTCCACTAACGAAGTGCATGTTGTATGTCTCTTGCCAGATTCAGAAGACTTAAGTTTTGAAGAGGCCGTGCAGGAGAAAAGGTGGAAAAATGCAATGGACTAGGAGATCGGGACAATAGAACGCAACAACACATGGGAGCTGAATAATTTGCCCAAAGGAGCGCGGCCTATCAGCGTAAAGTGAGTGTACAAGAAGACAAATGCTGAAGGAGAAGTTGAGCGATATAAAGCTAGACTCGTAGTGAAGGGGCACAAGCAGAAGGAAGGAATAGACTATGATGAAGTATTCGCCCCAGTGACGAGAATGGAAACAATTAGGCTGCTGATTTCCTTAGCAGCTCAACACAGATGAACAATCTTGCAGATGGATGTGAAGTCGGCATTTCTGAATGAAATCTTGGAGGAGGAAGTATATGTTGAACAGCCACTCAGATACATGCGAAGAGGTGAAGAGAAGAAAGTGCTGGGATTGAAGAAGGCACTTTATGGCTTGAAACAAGCTCCACGAGCATGGAATGAAAGAATTGACACTTACTTCAAAAGGAATGGATATGAGCAGTGTCCTTATGAACATGCTCTATACATAAAGAAGAAAGGAGAATATGTGATGTTTGTTGCCCTATATGTTGATGACCTTATCTTCATGGGGAATAATGCTGAGCTGATTGAAGAGTTTAAAGAAGTGATGAAGAAGGAGTTTGAAATGACTGACTTGGGTCTTATGAAGTATTTCCTTGGTTTAGAAGTTGTTCAAGGAAAGAATGACATCTTTGTGTCGCAGGAAAAATATGCTGAGGAGATCTTGAAGAAGTTTAAGATGACAATTTGCAACCCGGTTTCCACCCCTATGGAACCTGGTACAAAACTTTCTAATTATGCAGATGGAGACCGAGTTGATGCGAGCAAATACCGAAGTTTGATTGGAAGTCTTAGGTATCTTACAAATACCAGACCAGATTTAATGCTAAGTGTTGGAATAACAAGTCGATATATGGAGGAGCCAAGGTATACTCATTGGAAGACACTAAAGAGAATTCTAAGGTATGTGAGAGGAATAGTGTCACTTGGCCTAATGTATACTAGGACGGATGATTATCGACTAGTAGGCTACTCAGATAGTGACTGGTGTGGAGATGTTGATGACCGAAAAAACACGTCTGGATATGTATTCTTCATGGGAAACACAACATTCACCTGACTTTCAAAAAAGCAGCCCATTGTAACGTTGTCAACTTGTGAAGCTGAGTACGTTGCAGCATCCTGGAGTGTTTGTCATGCAGTTTGGCTTGGAAACCTTCTAAGCAAGCTGGAGTTGAAGCAAGAAAAAGGGACTGTGATTCGAGTTGATAACAAGTCGGCCATTGAATTAGCAAAGAACCCGGTCAATCATGAGAGAAACAAGCATATTGATGTTCGATTTTACTTCATCCGAGAACAAGTGAAAGAAGAAAATGTGGAGTTAGAGCACGTTGGAACCCGAGCACAAGCTGTAGATATGTTCACGAAGCTACTGCCAACCACTTTGTTCGAGAACAGCAAGAAGATGCTTGGAATGAAGGACAAGAAAAACATTTAAGTTTATGGGGGGATTTTGTTAGGTAAACATTAAATGCATGTAGTTGAGAGGTAGTAGTTATAGAGGTAGTAGTTGAGAGGTAGTAATTGTATTGAATGTATGTAGTTGAGAGATAGTGGTTGTATTGAATATATGTAGTTGAAAGATAGTAGTTATATTAAATGCATGTAGTTGAGAGACCATATCTAAAGGCCTATAAATTGATCATGTACCACTCATTGCAAACACATCAAGTGATAATATACAGAGTGTTTTATTTATATACTTGTTTGTCAACAGAAACCTTTGAGAATTTCAAGAGCTGGAAATGTCTAGTGGAGAACCAAACCAGTAAGACAGTGAAGAGGTTTAGAACTGATAACGGTCTTGAATTTTGTTCTGAAATGTTTAACACCTTATGCAAAGAGAATGGCATAGCAAGGCATCGGACAGTAGCTGGGACTCCTCAGCAGAATGGCCTAGCAGAAAGATTCAATAGGACCATTCTGGAACGAGTGAGATGTATGTTATTAAGTGTTGGAGTTCCGAAAGTGTTTTGGGCTGAAACTAATGTTACTGCTGCCTACCTAATCAACAGATGTTTCTCAACAGCTCTTGATATGAAGACTCCTGAGGAAATCTGGTCAGGGCATTCCCCCAACCTTAATAATCTGAGAATCTTTGGCTGTATTGCCTAGGCTCACATAAGGTAAACTGGATGCACGTTTCTTAGCTATCCAGAAGGTGTGAAAGGGTAACGTCTATGGTGTCTTGAGCCAGGGTTCAAGAAATGTATCATCAGTCGGGACATTGTCTTCAACGAAACTGAGATGGCTTACAACCCAAGAGTTTCAGAATGTGAACCTGAAAGTAGCCGTGACGGTGAAAAGGCCAACTTTGAGGTGGAGTCTGGAAGGAAAGAAGCATATGGATTTCTACAGAATGATGCATTAGACGATCCAGTAGATGACAGACAAGGAGCTTCTAATGAAGGCAAAGGTAGTAGTGATTACCAACTTGTCAGAGATAGAGCCAGGAGAACGATCAGAGCTCCGAAGAGGTATGGATATGCAGAGCTTATTGCATACTCCTTAGTAGCTGCTAGTGAGGTGTTATGAAAACTTGGATGAGCCCATCTACAAGAAGCAACCATAAGGATTTGAGGTAGAAGACAAGAAGGATTATGTTTGTAAGTTAAATAGATCCTTTAATGGTCTCAAACAATCTCCAAAGCAATGGAACAAGAGATTTGATGATTTCATTGCCCATATTGGTTTTGAACGTAGTGAGTATGACACTTGCATCTACTTCAAGTATCTAGCAGAAGATCACTTTATAATATTGCTGCTGTACGTAGATGATATTCTAATAGCCAGCAATGGTAAGTCTGAGATTGAGAAGGTTAAGGATGAACTTAATAGCGAATTTGATATGAAAGATCTTGGAGCTGCTAGGAAGATTCTGGGGATTAAGATCATGAAGTGTCTAATGGTGTCTCAAGAGACCTATCTCAGAAAAATTCTTGACAACTTTGGGATGACAAACTTGAAACCTGTATCCACACCTCTTGCTTCTCACTACATGCTGAGTGATGAACAATATCCTAAGACGGTGGAGGAGCAGAGATATATGGATGGTATTCCATATGCAAACATTGTTGGTTCTGTAATGTATGTAATGGTTTGCACTCACCCTGACATAGCCTATGCTATAAGTGTTGTTAGCAGATTCATGACAAATCCTGGGTGAGCTCACTGGCAAGCTCTTAAGTGGATCCTCCCTTATTTGAAGGGATCACTTGGAAGAGTATTAGTTTATGGTGGAGCTAGACAATATGCCAAGGATGCTCCCATAGAAGGGTTTGTGGATTCAGACTACGCTGGGTGGTTGGACACCAGAAAGTCTCACAGGTTATATGTTTATTGCTTATGGTACTGCAATCAGCTGAAAGGTCAGTCTACAGTGGTTTTGTCAAAAGCAAAGTACATTGCCATGACAAAAGTGGTGAAGGAAGCCTTATGGATGAAGGGTCTAGCCAAGGAGCTGAAGGTGCAAGACCAGATTGTCACCGTTATGTGACAGTAGCAGCGTTATACAGTTGTCAAAAAAACAAGTATACCATGAAAGAACAAAGAACATTGACGTGAAGCTACATTTCGTAAGAGAGGTGATTTCTCGTGGATCTGTGAAGGTGATGATGGTCTCAGTGGATCATAATCCCTCCAACATGATCACAAAGGTTCGGTCAGGCAACAAGTTCTTTCATTGCTTGGATTTGATTCAGCTAATTGGTGATTAAGCCTGTAATGGGCTTAGTGGCAGGTTGTGATTTTCTGTCATAAAAATTGTGTTGAACCAAGGTGTAGATTTGTGAAGATTGGTCCAGCAGAAAAAGAAAAAAAAGATCTTGTTAAATTTCCATAAACATCTAACCGGTATGAGAAACCATAGTGACGTTTTTTATGCTGTAATGAGAAACACTGTTTATGTACCATCTTGTTCATTTATGCGTATTTGAAGAGTTAGTTATAGCGGTCTAATAGTATAAATAGGAACCTAATCTTTTTTATTATCAGGAACTAGACAGTCAAGATGATTATTAATATTTTCCATTAAATCACGTTACTTTTTATCTAAAGTGGGTTTGTGTTCCCTGTGAGCAATTTCCTCTACAATGATTATGAAGGGTTCTTACGTAGATAATTGTGTAAATAAGGGTTATTGTGCCAGTGTTCCTACTTGGCGCTTAAGTGATAACTATGAAGTCCATACAAATACGGCCCTCCTTCCACAACCTTTCTCAGATGATAACTCGCTTGCATTCCTGTCGCTTCTTTCGTGCCAACTTGAAAACGTAGTAAATCATCAAATATCACTTTCAATTTTGACAGAGCTCGGCAAAACGAACTTTTATCCAGGTTCTTGTGGCTTTGACAATAAAACCACCAAAAGAATAACAGAAAGAAGAGACGAGGAATACAAAAATGGAGGAGGCTACAATTCTCCCCTGATTCATATGATGATACTTGGTCTGAAGCTACGACTTCTCAGTTAGGAACTAAACAAATCCCTCCCCACTAACCCACCCTAAATTCCTCAATAAATCTTGCACAGTCCGAGATGGTGCCAAGGTCTCTAATTTTAGACACAAATATACAAACAGGACGGTGGTAAACTACACTCGTTAAGATTCTGCTCATTCTTGCGTCTCCCTACCTGGTCCATGTTGCTGTCAAACGTGGATATTTTTTAAATCCACAGCGAACCATTTTCTTCAATTTTTATGTACCCTACAGCAGTTCATAATAATATTAGGACACTGTAATAAAAATCAAACACAACTTCTGTATTATATGAAAATGAAGGAGTTATAAGAGCATGCTGAAATTAACCAAGTGCAAGCAAGTCCTGACAAAAGGTGAATTAATGATCATCAAGAAGGCAATAACTAAATACTTAAATACATCAACGATCTAATATTAGAATGTTTCACATCCACAATTTTCAAATTGACGATCAAGAACAATCAAGATGAAAACCGACAGCTTACCATTTTATATACATCTAGATAAATGTGACCTTAGTCATCTATCTACTCTTAGAATGTTGTTACATATGTGACCCCTTGTTACCGACTCCCTTTGAGGATCTGATATCCATTTGCCATCAACAACAAATTTTATCTACAAGAAACAAATACAGTTATTAAATCATCTATAAGTATTTATGCTTACAAGACAAGAATGTAACAGAAACAAATTCATAAAACAGTAACATCTTCTTAGGAGCCAAGGGGGACGGCCTCCAAAATTTTGTATCTTCCATATGTATTTATGGTTTTCTCCCAAAAACTTAACTATTATTAAATATATCTGTTTATATATTTACAATTTTGTCCCCTCACTTTTTCTTTTTTTTTTTACCCTTTCATATTCCTCTATTATTTATTAAGAATACATTATTTGGTCTCCCAAAAATCAATGGTGAAGATTACTGTGTAAACACAATCCAACAACCTATTTCAACTGCTACCCTACCAAACAAAAAAACATAATAACAAAATAAAGCCCATAATTAAAAAATAAATAAAAAAACTGGAAAGAGAACCAGAAAGCTGGAAAATTACTGACTGAACATAAAGTGCTAATAATTACTGATTCTAATCATTAGTATATCTGAAGATGCACACACCTCATATACACCAGGATAAAGCCACAGCATTGTTGACCAAAATCTGGAACTCCTGGATATTATTACATTGAACAGCATATATCAATATTATTATTTAAATAAGTTAAATTTATCTAATATAATATGATTTTTTATGTTGTTATTTTATCTCCATATGCAAAGAGTTTTTTTCATTCTGTATCCTAGATAACAAGGGTGATTCCAGTAACAAATCATTGAAATGATGCTTCTAATTTTAGCCTTAACACTAATTGGCATCTAAGAAAGAATCTTCTACACGTTTACTCTTTTATGATCAAGAAACAATGAGTAATCTACAAGAACAGAATGATGACATATAAATACAAAATCAGTTAAAAGTAACTACTAGAACCTTGATCCCCCAAGGTCTACAGAACTAGTTGATGGTTGAGGATCCATTTTTATTCGGTGATGCCAACCGTTGAAGCTACCAGCCACCTCCACAATGTCACCATCACCACAGAACTCAATCTGGACCTGGAAGATAAGGGCAAATGGAACTATCAGCATGTATACAAGTTTTACTCTAAAATAATCTATTTTTCATCCTTTTGGATAGAAAGTTACGAGTTTACACATTGATTACCAAATACACCATATACAGGATCAAATAGAATCTTCTCTTCCATGTGAAAAAAACACTCCTGTCATCATGCATTCATTCATTGAAGCAGATGACCCCATCGCCAGATTAACATTTGAATTCAATTATATATTTTCAAAATATCAAATATGAAGTTGCTGATCAACTTGTAAATTAATCCAGTGATATTTTAACATCCAAGAGCAGCAAACATATATACTCAGCTAAACATCCCCTTTTCCTACTTCCTGCAAAACTGTTGCTTCTTGTGCATCCTTTGGGTACATGGCAAGGAATGTGTAGAGAGTTTCATGAGTTATAGTATATTCAGGGACAGCTAGGAAATTTTTCTGTACAAAGAGTGTATAAAAACTTACCACAGCTTCCCCTGGGCAGAGAAAAAAGATGGTGTTTGAAGTGTTTCTTTCAGATGAAACTCAGCTTCATAAAAGGTACCCCTTTGACTTTTATGCGAAAGTAGAACAAGACTCCATAAAGGCAAGGATCAGGTGGTTTTATGGTGCGTTACTCAAGGCTTGTTTTACAACAATAAGTCTTGGGTATTGTTGAATGTCTGGAAAAATAGATTAACTGAAATATGATTTTTTATTATATCAATACAAAAAGATGATATAAGATATATACAGGAGACCTAAGCTATTTTAGAAAATATAATAATTCTATTTTATGCTAGGATCCCTTGGATTTATGGGATTGTTTCTAATTATTCAAATCTGTACAGATTACAAGGAAATATACAAATTTCCTGATTTATTCTTTCCTAAAATACTATTTGATTTCCCACACTCCCCCTCAAGCTGGTGAATAGATGTTTTTCATTCCCAGCTTGAATACAATCTTCTCAAAATTATGGCAGCCCAGTCCCTTGGTAAGAATGTCTGCAATTTGGTCTTGAGAGGACACATATGGAGTGCATATCAAGCCACTATCAAGCTTTTCTTTGATGAAGTGTCTGTCTACTTCAATATGCTTTGTTCTATCATGCTGCACCTGGGTTGTGGGCTATACTGATTGCTGACTTATTATCACAATAGAACTTCATAGGTTCTTCCCAATTTATCCTCAAGTCTTCTAAGATGATTTTAAGCCATAGCAACTCACATAACATAAACTTGTCCTCCTTTCCTTGAGGAGCCTCCTTTGTGTCCCCCTTCTCGATCTCGGTTTAAAGGCTTCCCATGTAACTTCCAACACTTCTCTCGGGTATGACGAGGTTTATTGCAGTAGGTACACTAGAGACCATCACCTTTATTCTCCACATTTGCTGATCCTTTCTTCTGTTCGGTTACCATGGCCAAAGTCTGATCTCCTTTATGGTCCAGTGCTGAGTGCTCTATTGCTGGACTCTCTAACATGAGACCCCTTCTACTTTCTTCACTTCTCACAATAGCCACCACTTCATTGAGGCATGGTACCTTTTGCTTCCCCAATATTTGAATCCTAACTTGATCAAATTCAGGATTCAAACCAACAAGGAAATCATAAACTTTGTCTTGTTCGATATACTCCTTGAGAAATGCTGAATCTTCAGTACATTTGGCTTTTATGACTCTATAATGGTCTAGCTCCATCCATAATGATTTCAGCTGATTGGCATATTCTGTAACAGTCTTGTTCCCTTGTTTTGTTGCCAAAGTTTTCACCTTTACTTCATATACTTGAGCAGCATCTTTGGCTTTAGAGTAGGTTTGCTCTACAGCATCCCAAATATCTTTTGCCGAATGAAGGAACATGCAGGTGTCGCTGATTTCTGGAATCATTGAATTCCACAGTCACGCCATGATCATTGAATCTTCTTCATCCCATATAGTAAACTTGGGATCCTCCTGCTTAGGTCCAGACTCCATCAGGTGACTCAACTTCCCCTTTCCCTTCAACACTGTACGAACAAGTTGGGCCCACTTCAAATAATTTCTTCCATTTAGTCTATATGCAGAATGAATATTCTGCAGTACTCCAGATTGCTAGGATTGGGTATTCCCTGTTTCTGGGTTTGGATTCACAACTTCCTCTTCCCTTGACATCATAGCAAGGAGGTGTGATGCAACAACAATGCAGGCTGTCGTCTTAGGATTAAGAAAAATGCAGCAGCAATGCAGGCTGCCGTCTTAGGGTTAAGAAAAAATGCAGCAGCAATGCAGGCTGCCGTCTTAGGGTTAAGAAATATGCAGCAGCAATGGAGGCTGCCGTCTTAGGATTAAGAAAAATGCAGCGACAATGTAGGCTGCCGTCTTAGGGTTAAGAAATATGCGGCGACAATGCAGGTCGCCGTCTTAGTGGTTAAGAAATATGCAGCGACAATGCAGTCGCCGTCTTAGGGTTAAGAAAAATGCAGCGAACAATGCAGCTGCCGTCTTAGGGTTAAGAAATATGCAGTGAGCAATGCAGGTCGCCATCTTAGGATTAAGAAATATGCAGCGACAATGTAGGTTGTTGTCTTAGGGTTTATCGCGCGCAGACATAGCTTCCTAGATCGGAAGCTCTGATACCATCTGGAAAAATAGATTAACTGAAATATGATTTTTTATTATATCAATACAAAAAGATGATATAAGATATATACAGGAGACCTAAGCTATTTTAGAAAATATAATAACTCTATTTTATGCTAGGATCCCTTGGATTTATGGGATTGTTTCTAATTATTCAAATCTGTACAGATTACAAGGAAATATACAAATTTCTTGATTTATTCTTTCCTAAAATACTATTTGATTTCCCACAGAATGCTCTAATCCAATGTAGGAATAATTTAAAACAATTACTCTTCAATTTCATAAACAATAATCCTACTGAAAATGCTTAAAATTTAAAAATAGATAACCACTATGCCAAGAATGCAACGTGCTCTGAATACAATACTGAGTTACAAGTAAACAAGAACACAGGCGATACCTCCTTGAGTCCCGAAAGACTTTCTTCAGCAACATGTAATTCTACATCTTTTTCAGATATAAGTTTTCGGGCTTTGCTGATTTCTGCCTCTGCCTTGGTTTGCAAGATAGACAAAGCAAGCTGAAAGCAATAATAACATGTGACTGAATTGTATGGATCATGAATAACTCATACATCAAGGAGAGGAGGGAGAGAAAGACTGAACATTCAAAAACTTCTACTTTGCTATGATCTTGTTAGCACTTCCACACTAACAAAAATATGTTAAATTTTGTCGGATGTGGGATACAAATTCAGACTGCACTACACTTAACTTCGAACCCATCAAAATATAAAAGTAGTTCAACATGATGGTAGATTCAGACAACAAACTTTAAACAAATTTAAAATAACGACATGCAATTTCTTACAATTGAAGTGTCAAAATTTTAGAGTCTGGGATCTTTTATAATATCCAGCAGTTTCCTGTTTTAATAGCAAGAACCTTTTACAGATGTTATGATCTTAGATGATCATCATCCCTAGAAATGGCTTGCAGTTACAAATAAGTACCCAAGCACTTGGGGAACCCACCTGTAAAAGCTAGCAGCTAAGGAGAGAGAACTTAACAAATACCCCACTGAGCATCCCATACTATTCTATGTGGGACTTAGGTAACCCATAGTACGCAAGTTCCTACTAAAGAATTTGAGAACCTTTAGAAAGTTATCTCACGAAGGAGTGCATCATATCTACACAATAAGCAAACAGGACTTCATGATAATCATAGAATTTATTTTTGACAATTTTTCCTGTCACTAAAGCCAGAGTAAAATCAAATAGGGAGACATCCAAACACGTAGTTTTAAAACAAGAGAAAATGAACAGTACAAAATAAGTTACAGTCATCTATTTTCTCCCTGATACTCATGATGTCGTCTCTCTTTATCACTCATTCAGGCACACATGTTCCTTTCTGTCTATCATCTTTACCCTTAGGTCTGTCAAAATGAATTTAGAATTTTACCTGGTGAATTTGGCGGTGCCAAAGCCCAGAGAAATGTCACTTTGATGCTAACAACTAACATGGCTGATGCCAGAAAATATACATAAGAATTGACAATGGATTGGGTCAAACTCAACCATAAAAGCTAGTTCAAGAAAGGACTAGTGCCCAAATAAATAGTATGTAAATTGGCATCTAGACAATGTAGGATCTTCGAAATATAAACACACATCTTGTAGTGCCAGTTTTCAGATATTTCACATTTACCTTTTCCTTCTCAATCTGTTCCTTCAGCCGAGACAGTTCCAACTCCTTCTGATACTGAATAAATAACATTTGCAAAAGGTAGAGAAGAAGTATGATAACAGGTTATATTCACAAATATTCTAAAACAAAAAATAGGTTAGCTTCATCAACATCCACAAAAGAAACTTTAAATAATTACTACCAGCATGAACTTGAGATGATTTATCTCACTTTCGTTTTGCACTTTTGAAGCCTGCATAACAAGAATAAGTAAAATGAAAATAATAAGATCACAAGAAGCTGTTGATTGGAATAGAATTTCTGGATTTACACACAAAATGACCTCAGTATCTGCATCTTTGTCAAAATGAGTAGTTTGATCCTCGTGAAGTAAGTGATCATCCCTATATATGATTTGAATGCAGAAAAAAGGAAGGGTTCAGTTCAAATGAAAACATCAATGGACTTCCAACAGTCCCAGTTGGTTACTATCATCCACATAATACAAAATACTGACCAAAGAGGCTTATCCAAATCCAATGCTCCAGATAGAACAACTTGTTTGGATGTTAATGAGTTCCCATGAGCCTTGACATTATTATCTTGTGGAGGATGGCTACCTAGTGGAATATACGCATCAAATTCTGATTCAATATTCTATTTGATTTCCTGAGGATCATCCCCAATTCAAATGCCAGAGACATGATAAAGAATCAAACAAGTAGGGGCATTGTCGAAAAGGAACAAAAAGGAAAGTATACATAAGATTTGCACTGGACAAAAGAACATATTCTGAGTTTATCTGTTCATTAGAAGGGCTTTGACTAAAGCATACCTGTTGCCAAAGATTTCTTTTATAATTCTAGCAGCCAACATTTAGAGTGAAAATTTGAGTTGAGGTAAAGTAGATCATCTATTCTTTTGGTCATTGTTTTCTTTTTAGTAAAATATGTTGAAACTCAAATCAGAAGCTACTGTTGTCAAACTCATAACTGTAGCCATTGGTGATAACAGTTAGAATATATGAATATAGCTTCTCATATCTATTTCATTATCTTATTATGATTTTGTTTCCCAAATTGGTCAGGATTACGTTTAGCACATATATGGGTTAGTGCTCTATGTTTTGTGAATACATTAAATACATTCAATGCGTTTCAGTTACTATCAAAATCAGAGTTTCATTTTCTTTCATCTCCCTCCCTCTAATACACCTTAGTTAATATTAATTCAGTGTTTCGTTTTCTTTCATCTCTCTTCCTCCGTATTTAAAACCCCATAATTTCAACAACAATACAACATTACAATTTCCAATTACCTTCAACTGGATCCAAGTCTCCATTCTGAATAAAATTTGCAACCTTTTCCTTCAAAGAAAAGTTCGCCAAAGTGTCAAGATTTGTAGAACTGCTGTCAGCAGAATGAACAATTGAATCAGGTCTGTCATCACCAGATAAATTTTCCCCAATGGAAACTTCAGATATTGTGATAATATCTTCAACAGTATCATCATTGTTGTCATCTAGACCTTCTAATGCACCCAAGTCCTTTTGCTCCAAATCAGTAAACTCTTTTTCTTCAGTGTCAAGATTGGAATCATTAAATGACGTGTGGGAATGGTTTTCCATCATCGACAAGGTTAATTCTCCAACTGTTTTGCCCACTAAACTATCCTCAGACTCAGAATTCCCAGAAGAAACTCTCTCAAACGGTAATTCACCAGAAATTTCTGCAGGCATGATGGAACTTTGCTTACTGAAGTTGGGATAAAGACCTTCCCTTGAACTATCACAATCATCATCCCCAATGGTTGCTTCAGTTGAGTAGAAATTCTCCTGTGTCGCATTGTTTACCACTTCAGCATGATCTTTGACTTCACTTAGACCATCCTCGATGGTCAAATTAGCCAAGGATTCTTCCACGATGTCAGCAGCTTCACCTATTCTTGAACATGTGTCAACATACAAACTACTAGAACTACTTCCCAGAAGATACTCTGATGATGTTTCAACATTGTCAACTAAACTGTCCACCTTCTCATTCTGACCTTTAAATTGCATTACATTAAGTCATTATCACGAGCAACACAAAATAATACCATTGATAAAGAAGAAATTTAATTGACCTGTTAAAGGATCTTCAAAAATATTTGGAACGTCCAATCTCTCATCTACACTAGTTTCAGAACTTAAAAAATCAGCGTCAGCTTTTAATAAGCTGCTAGTGAGAAGCTCCTGAATATGTTTATGCCCTCTCCTTCTGACAATGTTTGCCAGGTCATTCCTATAAACAGAGGAAGATAGGCTAATAAAAATAAATAACAACCTCCAACAACAAAACAAAGAGTAGACCATCAATTTGGTGGCTCGAGTATTACTCTAAAGTAATGAAATTATACAAGTAGTCCTTAAAATGTTAAACGCCCTTCAATCTAGTCCCTATGTTGATAGATTGCATAGACGTTCAAGGACTAATTTTACGGATTTTTCCATTCTCGGGAACTATATAGTGTAATGTTTAATACTGGAGGCATTTACTTATATAATTTGTTTACTTTAAAGTCTAATCAGGAGACACAGTAATACTTTAGGCTTTGTTTGGAATTTAAGATGGAAATAATATTGAGTGGATATAAATAAGTTGGTGGTGTTGGTATTATAAATTAAGAGGAGAATTAATTTTGAAATTGTAAGACCAAATGTAATAATTCTAATTTATTTCGCAAACAAATTTAGTTTCTATTTTTTTTTTCTCCCCTTTTGTCACTCATCATTTATTATTTTCATTCAGTCCACTATATTTTTTCTTCATTCTACCAATAAGGAGATTAGGGATGAAATTGATGGTCTATTGAAAAAAAAAAACTTAGGCAGAGCAGTATGCATGCAGGAGATTTGCAATTTCATATCATTTCAACTAAACAATATATCACAACTCAAATTCTTTAATGTTGCGAAATTTAGCAGCAAAAAACTGAAACGATTGGATTCAATTAACTATGATTATCCCGAAACGCAATAGGCGCTAACAAAATGTAGAGTTTCGAAGGAAATCGAAAGGACCATCCGTGGAGCAGAAGTTCCTTGGTGGAGGGAATGTGGTTATCCGGAAGGCCAACCGAAGCGAGAAATTCGCGGATATCGTTGCAGATCTCGGCGTCGCTCTTGATTCTCCGACTTCTCCTAAATCGCGAAGAGACGGAATTGAGAGACGCAGAAATTTAATTAAGAATAAAAATTTGAGAGTGAGGGAGAAGGAAAACCTTATTCTAGTTCTTGTGGAGGTGGTTTGAGAAGCACGTGCGCGGATAGAGAGAGTGGTGGAGGGATGAAGAAGGTGCGTTGGAGAGAAAATGCAGTGGCGACAAGGAAGAGTGGTGCAGCCGGGGAAGTAGCAGACCCATACACTTCCCATTTACACTTCCACTTATTCTTCTACAAAAACCTACTCACTCGCTCACTCTTCTTTTTCGCTATCTCCACACCGCACCTCATCGAGAAGAAGCGCGAGGAATGAATGAGGATGATATCTATCACAGTATTTTCGTTATTAATTAATCTTGATTATGTGACGGAATTTAACTTGCTGGGGTTATTTACCAGCGCTTCATCATTGGATCGTTGAAAGGTGATTTCGCGTTTAATCAGAACCGTCAGCTTGCTGGCAGGTGTCAGAGGCGTGTCACCTGCTTGCTAGGTGTGTGTTTTTGTTGAATTTATGTTGAAGTGATTTTAACTTTTCATTGAAAGTGTTCATTTTGAAAATTATTTAGTTGAATTTAAATGCAGAAGAAAAAAACAAATATTTTTAAACTTTAATTTTTTATGTTTCAAAGAAAACTAAACCAAATAAGGTAATAGAAGAGAAAAGGGACCGTGTAAAATAGTTTTATAACTTTATTTAATCACAAATTATTATGAATTATATGGCTTATTTTTTCTATAAAGATTTTTGTAAGAAAAAAATTCAGAAAAATTATTCTTTTTAAAGCAAAATTAAATTATGAACAAATTAATTTACAAAAATTGTATTAATTTATTTAAATATATTTTTAAATTTTATATAAATTAATTTTATTTTACAAAATAAAATTAATTTTCTTCTAATTTTTTTTAAGATGCTCTATCCTTTTGAAGAAATTAGAATAATAAATAAGGAAAAGAAATTGTATAACTTAGTACAAGCAATTAATAATAATAATAATAATAATAATAATAATAATAATAATAATAATAATAATAACATAACACCATTACTTAATAAAATTATAGGATTGAACTCATTATATATCTCATAATTGATTTTGTTACCTTCCTCTACATGCCTTATTTGTTATTTCAAAATCATGCACTATAAGTTTTTTTATTTAATACCCTTAATACTTATTATGTTTAATGTTCCATTCTCTAATTTTTTTATATTTATATACTTTTATTTTAGCTATAATTTTTTATTACATTTAATCTTTATATTTTCAAATGGAAATTTTTATTTAATGAACTTATCTATCATAATAAGTAATATAATGGTAACTTTATAAATATGAAAGTTTATTATGAAAGTTAAAATGATGATTATCATATTAATAATATCAAGGTTGCAGAGTTATATATATATATATATATATATATATATATATATATATATATATATATATATATATATATATATATATATATATATATATATATATATATGAAATTTGGGTTTTTTCAATACCTCATGTATATAAAAAAAGTTATTGGGTTTAGTGTATACATAGTAAGATAAATAATTATTCCCATTTTTATATTTTTTTCAATTCATATCATTATTCTTTTAGTACAAATTTAGTTTTACTATTTTTAAAATGAATTAATATTGCCCCTTTTGTCAAAGTTGTTAATCAACCTACATAATATATAACAGGTAACTAATTTTAATAGATTTAGAGTAAAGTTTAATATTCTCTTAAAATTTAAATTTGATATTATTTTCTTACTCTATCTTGAAATTATTATGGAACGTTAATTTTTTAATAAATATAATCATTTTATGGTTTGACACATAATGTCATAACCTTAAAAAACACTTAATGAAATCAACATGAATGAAAATTTTCTAGTTACATACTTTTTTTTTTTAACGAGAAGTGATGGGATTAAAGTATGAACGTCAATTTAAATGACCAACACTAATAAAAATTATTAAAAATATTAAAAAATTACAAAAGATTAAAATATATTTAAGATTTATTAATATTATTTTTAATTTAACTAAAATTAAGTAAGATAAATTTATTATTTTAAATAAATCATACTTCCGTCTTAAAAGATATTTAAATTATATTTGTTTTCTAGATATTTATATGAATTTATGCATGAAGACTTCTGAAAGAGAAAAATATTAAAAAAAAATTGATAACTTAAAATTAACTTATATTTAAGTTAGATAAAAATTTGAAAAAAAAAAACTTCTACCAATTAAGTAGTAGATAAGTTAAATTCATCTTAAGAAAAAAATGATTTTTTTTCTTGTTAAAATCTTTATGAAAGGATTTTGTTGAAACAAGTCGTCTTCTTTTAAAATCTATGTTTTCTTCCTTGTTTGATTGAGCATGGATATATTTTTTTATTTTAATATAAATAACTCTCTTAAAATTGATGAATGTAGATATGTTTCGTAATAATGTTTTGTCCTTTCTATAATTTTAAAGAAAATTAATTTTGAATATCGTATATTTGGTTTTAATATTTCAGACGATAAACTAAAATTTAAAATACCTCTAATGTTGACTTTGAAACTTTATCAAATATTTTTAATTTATCTTTTAAAATCATAATATGTATATATATATATAAACTGTCAAGATTCACTGTGAAAAAGAAAGAAAAAAAAACTTAAAAGCTCATTTGTATTAAACCAAACTCAAATATAATACCTATTAATCTAGAAGAATAAAATGCATATTTTAAAACAAGAGGAGAAGAAAATATAATTTAAGAATATTTTAAGAGAGAATAATTGTAAATTACTCTTACTTTCATTATTAAGTATGTTTAGACCTATTTTATTATGAACCCTTAAAACAGGTATTTTATTAAGTTTATAAGCATGACTTATTTCCATACTCTCTTTTTTTAAATTTAATTCAAAAAATTACACAATAAACTTTATCGAAACAAATTTATCAAACCAAGGGTTGATTAAAAGCATGATTATACTTTGAGTTGGAACTACCATGAGTCTATTAGTATGAGGTAAAGAGAACAAACAGCTTATAATTGGACTTCCAAGTTGACATTTGTTTTGGAAGGCATGGCCCATCAATTGAAAATATGAAGCAAACTAGCATTAGATAATTGTTTTCAATGAATTATTCTATACACAACTTGGGAAGAAGACTTTCTGTACTTTATATACAAACTGTGATAACAGTGACCAATTTAAACTTTGAAAGAGGGTCCTATATATAGTGATGGAAAGTTTTGTCACTCAATTATAAACGAGTTTAGAAGAATTATAGTGGGGAAAATTTGATCTAAAGCCTGTTCCTCCGTTGACTTAAGCTATATAAACTTCTTCTCTGAAAAAAATTTCTGTCCCATCCACCCTCCAAAGTGTGTGAGGAGAGACAGAGAGAGAGAGAGAGAGATGGGAAGAGCTCCTTGTTGTGACAAAGCCAATGTAAAGAAAGGGCCATGGAGTCCTGAAGAAGATGAAAAGTTAAGAGAGTTCATAGAGAAACATGGTACTGGAGGTAACTGGATTTCCCTCCCACATAAAGCTGGTAAGATTTTATTTGTATCCTTTTTCCCCTGATTCTCAAGTTTATGTCTTTAGTTTGTAAACTATGATGTTTGAAGAAACTAAACATAAGGTTTTAAAATGGTCTGGTATTCCGACCAAACATTAAGGTTTTTGGAGTGTCTATTGGTCACATTTGTTTTTGTTCATAATTTTCTGTAATATCAAACAACACAGTGAAATCGCAAGTGTGATAGATAACCTTTGATTTCTCTCTTCAGGCTTGAGAGCGCTTATAATATGTTGACATGCAGGGTTCTTCTATGTTCTATCTTGTGTTCCTGGTGGCTTATGTTAATTTGTCTCAAACAGGTTTGAAAAGATGTGGGAAAAGTTGTAGACTCAGATGGCTTAATTATCTCAGGCCAAACCTTAAGCATGGCGAGTTCTCTGAAGATGAAGAGAGAATAATCTGCACTCTCTTTGCTAGCATTGGAAGCAGGTATTCTTTATTTCACTTAATTTCCACTTTTTTCTTACCAACCTTGGACATACTTCAGAGACCAAATGATGAAAGATCATGTATCAAAGTTTGCTTTCACATCTTGGGAATTAAATTGTCAAAGTAGACATGATATTGATTACATGTACTTTAGATCTGCTACATGTTTCTTATTTGGGAACTCATTGTGACAAGTGTAGGTGGTCCATCATAGCATCTCAGTTGCCAGGCAGGACTGACAATGATATCAAGAACTACTGGAACACCAAGCTTAAGAAAAAAATGATGGGAATAATGAACCCTCCAACACTGAAGAAGCCTCATCAAGTTACCCTTTCATCCATGCTTCAAAACCCAACACCATCTTCATCTTCCTCCTCATCTTCATTATCATTGAAAAACAAGCACAACTCTTATTACCAACCACATGTGCCTTTCACAGGCTCTGAGGCCATTTCATACTCAAGTCTTCTGAGTGGCAATTCTTCTTCTACTCCACCTTTTTCCACTTTTGAGAGCCTTTATCAAGTTAATACTGCTTTTATGTTAGGGGGTGAAACAAGTTGCAGTTCTTCTTCGGATGGAAGCTGCAACAACAATCAGATCAATAATGTCAAAGAAGCAGAACTTGGATATGTTGGTGATGGAGCTTTTGGTGACCAAATGGGTGGTCTTAGTTACCTCTCTAGTGGGGTGGAAGATACCCAAAAGTTGGTGTCCTCCAATGCTGGTAGGGTTAGTGGGTGGACAGGTGAACAAAGTAGATTATGGGGAGAAAGTCCATTAGACTATGGTCTAGAAGAAATTAAACAGCTAATAAGCACAAATAGTTGCAACAACTTTATGTTTGATGACAGCAAGACAGGGGAAATGGTCACGTACTACTGATGCTGACAAGCTAAAATCAAGAATATCTGAAGGGTAAACAAGGGATGGGTAGTAGAATGGGAAGATTCAGAATTGGAGTTGGTGTATGTTTTTGTGGGAAAGGTAGAAGATGATTGGCCCACTTACTTTTTTTACAGTACATGTTGGAAGTTTCCTTTGTATCATTTACTTGGTGCAGGTATTATTAACCCCACCATGACCATGGACGTGTCCAAAAAACAAATGAATCTGAGAGGAAAAGAGCAAGCCTTGTAAAGTAGAGTACCCCTGAATCCTTCTTCCACCAGATTTAGAAAGAGGATTACAGAGCAATCCACTACTACTATTATTTAATATTATGTAACCATTTTTGCTTCCAATCATGCACCTAAGAGCACCTTTAGTTTAGCTCATCGCTCATGTTTTTTTTTTTTTTTTTTTTTTATTTTATTATTATTATTATCTCTTCCATTTTACTTCATTTAGTTAATGTTATCAGACTGTAGATTGTTTACTCATCCGTTAGTTAATGTCATGGAATTTGAGTCATTTACATGAGGTTTTAGATTTGAATCACATTACTTTATTTTCGTTTTCCTATTTTTTGTTTAACTTTTTACATAAAATGAATACGTAATTTCAATTAATTAATACTTTATCTCATAATGTAGTTGATTTATAATATATTTTAAAAAATATATAAGTAAATTTTGATTAAATTTATAAAACTAGATATAGATAACAATTGAATGCAGATAAACTTGAGTAAGCATGTTTCAATTTAGCCGGTGTCTTAAATTTAAATAAATATGCAATAATATTAAATATTTGGAGAAAAAATTTATTTGTTCTAATGATATTAATAGATCAAACATCATTTTGAGATAGTTATAATTATTAAGGTAATATCATATAATTTAATAACTATTTTTGAAATTCATATTTTATAAAAAAAAATCCCGATTTTAATCCTTGAGTTTTCAAGACATATCATAAAAGTCTTATAAATTAGAAAATTGTTAAATAAATCAATAATATTAAAATTTAGTCGCGATAGAATTTATTATTGGTTTTGTTATAAACTATAAAAATAATATGTTGTACTATTTTGAAATAAGAATAGATTATTTAAATTTTTGTTTTAAAAAAAATTATTTCAAAAGCTATTATGACAATACTCCATTCAAAAACTGGAAGGAGCATACTTTTAACATATTTTTGTAATACTCAACTTTTACTAGTAAAAATAATAGAATATAAAGAAATATTCATTAAATACAGAGTAAAGGCTTACCTATTATGTAATTTCAATAATCTTAACCAAAATAGAAAGTGTGTATTGGAAACTGTAATATTAGTTTTTTTTGTAAGACTAACTTAAAAAAAAAACATTCAACGATTATTAAAATGACACGAGTCCCTGTCTAAATTAATTTATAATTAACCTAGCAAAACAATATAACGAGATAATCACTGGGTAGTAGCCATGTGAAACTTGCTTATAAAATTATTAACGTTAGAAATTGGAATTATGCCAAATGAAACTAATCCACTCAAAACCAAATGCCAAAGTAAAAAAAATAAAAATGATAGTAACTAATTTAAAAAAGAAAAAAATATTAACATGATTCAAATAAAATAATATGTTTTATTTCTTTCAATTATTAAATTAAAAATAATTTTATTTATAATATATTTTTGAGAGATTAGTATAGATAAATTCTTATAAATTAATTTTAAATAAATCGTAAAAAAGTAAAATTCTATTTTAAAATCAAAATTTTATAACTCATCATTCAACTTAATAAAACTTATTTATTTGAAATTATTCTTAAAAATATTTTCGATCCAATAATCCATAACTAAAATATTAAGAGTCTAATATAAAAATATTTTCGTAAATTAGATATTAGATCATGTGAGTTTATTAAAGAAATATTGAAAACAAGAATTTTATTCATATGTGTCAATACATTTTTTATTTATATGAAAGAAGTTTTAATATAAATATAATATAATTTTCTCGAGAGGATTTAGTAAGATGACCAAGGAGACGCTACGAGAAAAAGGAAGAAAGAAAACAAAAAGTGAAATATGTTTAAACTGATATCATGTTAATATATTGAAGAAGAAAATATAAGAAATAAGAATTATATTTATAAGCTTTAATATAAATATAACATAATTTTCTTCTTCGGATAAAGAAATAGAGAATTTGGTAAAATGATCAGAAGGAGATGCCACGAAATAAAGAAAAAAGAAGATAAAAAGTAGAAAGTGTTTAAACTAATATCATGTTAGTGTATTGAAGAAAAAATATAAGAAATAAGAATTACATTTATACGTGTCAATTTTATTAATATAATGGAAAAAATAATGTTATAACAATAAATTTAAAAAATTAAGATATATATCTTTATTGAAAATTATATAAAAAAATTCTAATTTTTTTCCACTTTTTTTATATATATACGGTTTCAACTAATTTACATTAATTTATAAAAGTAGAATATAAAATGAAGATAATACGATGAAATACTCAGATTTAAATCTGATTAAATAATTGTAGTGAAGATAATACGATGAAATACTCAGATTTAAATCCGAATAAATAATTGTAGTAAATATTTAAAGTGGTTCTATCGTGTATATAATTAGTTTGCTGAGAAATATTTTTTTATAATAGAGAAATTGACATAGATAAAGCATAAGAATATAGAATATGGAATCAAGGCATGTCTTGTCTTCCTACTTCACAAAAAGGTTAGGTTGCAAGTATGTAGCAGAATCCTTTCGTTGATACATTCCCCAATTATTTAGGGTTAAATTATGAATTTAAGAGACACACATTGCCCTCATTTAAATGATTTTTAAATCCCCTTTGGCTAGAATCGCAAGCAACTTCCATAAACATTGATTTGAAAGAGAGTTAATAATAAACAAATCCAAAGAGGGGACAAAGATTTAAAAGATAGTAAACCATGCATTACATGAAGAAGGAATAGTCATGGGAGACTCGCCAAAAGGCTCCAAAAAAATTATGACCATAAGATAATGGTGCCTTGGATAAGTCATTGATTTCTGGATCGTACTCATTTGTTCAAAATAAAATAATAATAATAATAATTAGTTTAGTTTTCCAAGGAAATGAGTGATGGAAAAGTTGAAGCCAAAAACATGCATTGACCTCTTCACCATTTTGTTTGTATTCCCTATGGATATGCCCATGAAAATTAATGCTTGAAGAGTGAAAATAAGAAAGAAATTAAGAGATGTATATGACTAATTTAATAGAATACGAATATTTTAATTATTTTTTTATATAATGTTTAAAGTGTTTTTTATATAATTAATATTTCGTCGATTATAGATAACTTATAATTAATTATAAAGATCTTTTAGCAAAATTCATATATTTTAAATTACTTAATCGATTATGTATTACAAGAAAAGTTTATATTTTATCTACACAACTTTCTTTTTAAATCCGTGAATATGAATAAACTCGTACAATCACAGACAATTTCCACGAAACCCTTAAACGCAAAGCGAATATTAGTGCACACTTGCTTTAACATTTAGAACATCAAATTCAAATTTAAGGTTTAAGATTAAAAGTGTTTTTTAAAAATAATTTTAATTTAAAAATAGTTAATAAATTTACCTAAATCCTAAACTAAATACACCTTTATGTTTACTTCTACTGATTTAATGTAATAGAAGATTTGAAGAAGAAGATATGTGGGGATATTTGTTGGTTCTCTTTTATTGATTTATTTGAGTGGATTTTGGGTGATAGAAAGATTTGTCTCACATTTTCATAAATCTACTTAATGAAAAAGTAAATAATTGAGTAACAAATATATAAATTATCATAATCAATTTTTCTATTTGGATAAATATTTTATTTCATCTTATTCACAAGGATAATTAGTAATTTTATTAAAAATATTATTATTTAATTATTTTATATTTAATTATATGAATTTATAATTTATAATAAATGTACTTAAATATCTTTAAATCCATTATATTTTATTCAGTCTAAACAATCTTACCCATCTCCTCAAATTTACTCCTTCAAATCCTCACTACAATCCAAACACAAGCTTAATTAAATCACATATTTACAAATTGTAAAAACAATAACAATAACCACCAAAATACTTCTAATAAAATTAGTCTTAAGAATGATATAACATGATAATTTTACAAGTCATGGACTAAAAAGAGACAAACAAGACTTGGCAGCAAGTGGCCATGATATAATAAATAAGCATGGAAAATACAACGAAGTGTCGTAAGTCTTAACCCAATGTGAAATGTGCTTATTATACTACAAAGATAATGCAAGAGTGTGTGAAAATGTCCAAAGGTCACTTTTTTTTCCCTCTTCAAGAAAATCTGGTTTGACTGAGACCTTTTATGAAATTAGATTCCAAAATGCTTTCCAGCTTTCATATTGGTTTCTTCTTTTTTCTGATAAACCCAGCTTCCATGTTTCTAGTTTCTATGAACACGAGGAGTGGCAAGTCTTGGAAGAATTAGATTTTTTTTCTTCTTTTAATAGTTGTTGTAGAAAGTAAGCCAATGAACAGGATGTGGGCAATGTCAATTGGTTTTTCAATAAAGTCCTCACCTCCACCATCATTTCATATTTATTTCCTTGCGTTGGTCAATCATTGTATCTTCACCATTTAGTATTTGAATTCAAATAAACATGGAAGTGGTTGTTGTGCTTCTATATATATTATTATACAAGTACGTAGCAAAAGTCAAAAGCATTGTCTTATTGCTTAACTTTTTAAACATGGTTAAAATAAAATTGAAATGAAAAAATATATATAATAATTTTTACAAGATTTTAATCATTATAATTATAATGATCTTAAAAATAATTATTATTTATTTACAACCCCTTTACCCCTTTTATTTATCTAGAAGTCTCACCTCTCTTTATATTATATTTTTATTAGGTCCTCCATCTCTTTTTATTAATTTATTAAGAAAATTATTATTGA